GAGTACGCACCCTCATCTGGTGTGAAAGTCCACTTTGTAGAACTGGTTGCGATTTACTGCTCTGGCTCATGCACAAGTTTTGCTTGTGTGCAGGTCTTTGTCTTTAGGACTTTCCTTGTCCCGAAGTGGTGGTGACGCCTTACTACTCTAGCTCATGCGTCGATTCCATGGGGAATGGTTCTTGCTTTGATAAATGTTTTTGACTTTTTGTAGTCATCCGATGCGCTGGGGATTCTTTGATTTTTGGCTTTTTCCAATAGCCATCCAACTTGTTGATTGTTGGGGATTCTTTGTCAAATGCATTTGAAGTATGCAGGAATTCACTGAGGATTTGTTAATTTTGACGATGCCTCTTGAGTAGGCAGATGCTTCATTTGAATTGAAGACTTTAGTGTTTGCACTATTTTGCCTCTGAATAGGCTGATATTCCACTTGGGGTTGCTGTCTCTTTGCCCGTCAGGTCTTGCCTATGCGTAGGCAAGCGACTCTCTGAGGATGTGAATTTGTAAACTGCCTTTGTAGTAGGCTCACTGGGGATGATGTTTTCTCTTTTCTGATGATCCACCAGGGATCTGATTTTGGTTTGCCCCCTGGAGTTTTGACTCCTTGTTAGGTATTGGTGTGAGCTGGTTCTGCGATGCTCTTATTTCATTGGGGAATGGGCATTCTGTTTACCTAAAAGTTAGGATTTTAATTTCGCATTTTTTTGCGATTTATCTCTTTTTTATCACGATTATGAAATCTGGCTTTTTTTGTGGGGATAATGCATGCGCCTTTTTACTTTTTAGTTTATTTTATGCACACAGGCTTTTTCTTCTTTTTGGGGATCCGCAGGGGATAAAGTTTTCTTTGGTGATCCACCAGGGCATTGCCGAATTCCTGGGGATCTGATTTTTCTTTTCTAGGGATGGAGTCTTGGCTCGGGATAAAGTTTTCTTTGGTGATCCACTAGGGGATTGTCGACTTCTTGGGGATCTGATTTTTCTTTTCTAGGGATGGAGTCTTGGCTCCTTGATTGATGTTAATGCGAGCTAAGCTTGTGAAGCTATTATTCTACCAGGGGATGGAGATTTCTGATTCTTCCTTTTTGTAGGTTTTTCTCGGGAGATCCACTTGGGGATTTTTATTCAGCCTTCTGTTGCGACCCTTTCTTTTGGATATCCGTTGGGAATGCAAGGGTTTTCTTCTTCTTTTTTTCTCTTTTTGTTGAGCCCTTGATGGTATGAAGATTGGACTCTTTTGACTGTTGATGATGATGGACTCTTGAAGCCTTTATTCTCCATTGGGGGAGTGTGGAGGAGACTTTGGGTGAGTGTGCTTGATGACTCATGTAGTGGCGATGCTGAGTTGTGGGGTAATATTTGTGTTGCCTCTGGAGTAGACAAGAATCTGCTTGGGGATAACTAAGCCTTTCCGTCATCTTTTTTTTATTGGGTAGAAGCATGATAACGGGAGTTTTGGCTTCTGCAAGCTTCTTATTTCTTCTAAGCTATTTGATGATGACAACTTGCTCTTCTTTTTTTTGAAGGAGAACAATGTTTGGAGACTTCTTATTTGTGCCTTCTTTTTCTGGGGTAGAAGGATGGTAGCTGGAGCTCTTGATTTTTGGAAGCTCTTATTCTGCTGAGTCGCTTGATTTGCGACTTGCTCCGTTTTCTTGAGGGGGAGCTTTATGCGAAGATTAGTCTGGGTGCTTCCTGTTTTCAATCACAAACATGGAGCTAGTCTCCTTATATGCATGAATGATTTTCTTTTTTTTTTCTTTTTTTTATTCATCTGAAGTAATTTTTATTTTTGTTTTTCGATTTTGACAAAGTCGTTTTGTGCGACTACTTGTGCGTGGATGCCCTAAATGTAATATATTCTTTTTTATCGATGCATCTAGAAAAGTGACTCGCATCCTCTTGCTGGACTTTCATGAATATGCTGATGGACCCCTCTCTTTTATTTATTTTTTGGTTTAGCCCTAACTTTTGCCTAGACCGCCCTTTTGGGGTTTTCGATCTAGCGGGCTGCCTTAATTTTTTCCTAGAATATCTTAGCGGGCTTTTTTCCTTTTTTATGAATGCCCTAACTTTTTCCTAGACCGCCCTTTGCGGGTTTTCGTTCTAGCAGGCTACCCTAACTTTTGCCTAAGAATATCCTAGTAGGCATTATTCTTTTTATTTTCATTTTTTCTTTCTCTTCTTTTTTTGAGAGATAGGACCCTATCATATGCATGCAATGTTTGCGATATGTATCCTACAATGCTATTTCAATTAATATTTCAAAAGGATTAATCAAATGTGCTTTCGTCGACATGATAGGCTGTACCGATTTTGCCGTCTTGATTTTGCCATGACCGAAGAATGATTGTGTTGATTGTAGAGTGACTTGCCATGTCAGTGTGCCCCTCCCTTTTCTTGGGGGTGTCAATCCTCCTATTGATTACTATCTCCACATTTCCCTACTAATTACTAGAATGTCGTAGTGGTAAGGGTCAAGAGAAAAGAAGGAAAGTTATTTATTCAAAGGCTTATGTTTTAGAATTGTTTTATTTTGACAAAAAATGGTTTTTGTAAGCACGGCTAGCCAGGGTTGGTTAGAGTGTTTAGGCTAGTTTAGACAAACATTTTGTTTATGAGGTGACGTCTTAAATGATTATTCAATGGCGCCTATCATGACTGATTAACTTCCCTAGTCTGCCCTTTGGGTTTTCAGCCTAGGATGTTGTGCTATGTCCTAAGTTTTGTCTAGGTTTCCTCTTTTCTTGTTTTGGGAATCCTAGCAGACTTTATTTTGTAACCCTAATTTTTGCCTAGGCTACCCTTTATTGTTGTTCGGGTCTCCTAGCAGGTTTACCCTAACTTTTGTGTAGCCCCCTTAATGGGTTTCCTACCGGGTATCTTGCCTTTTTTTTTTGGCCTTTAGCTTCTATGGGCTTCTTTTGATTTTTGTTTCTCTTTGCACAACATTGGCAAAACACGACTTTATTATGATGAGGTAAAACCTTATTTTGTGTTTCTAGTCAATCAGTGATGATGGGTTTGACTTTTATTTTAGTCAATAGCGCAATTTGATTATTTTGATGCACTTTTGAAAACGTTTGCTTAAACATGGTTATTATGATGTTTAGACATGAATAGCAAGAAGAGAAGCAGATAGTAAGAATGACATTCTTTATTAATTAAAAGGGAAATATGTGCCCTTATAATGCTCGGGGGTTGGGTTAGCCCCGAGGAGTAATCTCTAATAGTCATTGGGTTTACATCCCTTAAAATTGGGAGAAGAACACCTAATGACTAAAGTCGTTCTCGACGCTTGGACCCCTTCGTTTGGGAAAATCTGATTTGAGGTGCGGAGGGGAGACTTCCCTTTTCTCCATGCAGCTTCATCCTTTGTAGGGTCATGCTTCAAAGGATTGTCTTTAAAATCTGGTGGTTCCCTTATTCCTTGAGAGTTTCTAATGAGCCCTTGGTTTGGGCAGTATCCATATTTCCTCATCATGTGGGTCACCTTCATATTGTTAGGGAAGTCTTTTCATATTGGCAAAAGATATTTCAAAGGTCCTCTTCAGCCGCATCCATTCAAGGTAGGGTAACCGACTTGCTGATCTGAATGTCGTCTTTAGCTCGAACGGTGTCTACTCAATTTCCTCGTTGGATTATGTTTTTCTTTGGTCTTATTATTTTTTCCTTTATTCTTAGGAGCGTCATCTGGTAACTCCTTGGGGGAGTAGATTCTTCCACTTCTAATCCTGCCCCTAATGCCGACTATGCTGGAGATATCCTCATTGATGGGCAATGTTTTTGCGTATCTCCATGGTACAACTTTATTTGATTCGAGGCGTGAACAAATGTAACGACATCCTTGCCTCCTCTTCCTTATTAACGTGGATACCCAACGGTTGAGGCTTATTATTCTCCTTAGGCGGATCAACCGTTGGAGAGAACTTGACGATGAAAGGTTTGCTCTTCATCTTATTCTGATTCATCGGAAGCACATCAATTAATCCTTTCTTTTTATTATCTTATTATTATTAAAGTGAGGATGAATGCAATAGACGGTTGAGATGATGAAAACAAACAATTTTATTTATTTCATCCAGAAGGTGTACATTCCTCAATGCAATGCTTTGAAGCACATTTTTAAAAGCAGAAAGCCTAAAGGAACCCATAGGCGGGTTAAAATTTTTATGTATTTCCTTTTTTGACTTCTCGTGCATGGCATGCGAATGCCCTATCCTCTTTACATGATATTGAGGAATGTCCACTTTCTTCAAATGCCTACTACTAGATGCATGTTATGAGGATGAAGTTTTGTGGATGCATGTATGCAAGTGTTTGTTTTTTCCTAAACATTATCATGTTTTATTTCCTAACATGATGTATGAGAGTGTTTGGGATGAATGAGGGCATGAAGAATACCAGTCGCTTTCTATAATGTAAAAAGAATTTAAGAATGTTTATTTTTATTTTGAAATGAATGATTAGTGTAGGATAGATATGCCTTAAGACAATGACTTTGGTATCGTTCTTAAAGCTTTACGCTTCACGGAACACCTTACCCACTTCAGTATAATGGTTCCTTCCCCATCATGATTTTGACAAGTATAACGAAGGTCACCATATACCTTAGTACATTTGTCCCTTCCTTATGGATGATTACAAATGTGCTCGGGTCCTCTTTCACCTTTGTCTTAGGGAAATCTAATGCCCCCTAGCATGAATGTGTTTATGCATGCATTAGTGCAAAAAGGCGGCAGATGTTCAAAGTGATATAACTTTTGACTGAGACGTCGGATTTGGAAGCACAACATATCAAAATGAAGAGGAAAGAGTGAAGAACAGGAGACGGTGGTCTCGCCATTGGAAAGTGGCGAGATGGTGGTCTCGCCAAACGACGGTGGTCTTGCCCTTAGCCGATGGCGAGACGGCAATTGTCACCGCCGTCTCAAAAGAGAGAAGGTCGGTCGGAGCGACGCGATGGTTTTTTCGACCCTTTTGTTTTTCGCGTTTTTTATGTGTGGTTACAACGCCTTTAGGTTGTCCGATAACCGGGCTAACCTAGGGGCGAGGTTTTCGAAAGGTGTCCTTGGGTTGTCCGATAACCGGGCTAACCCAAGGACTTTATTTATTTTGGGTTCTATGGAGTCGCCACCGATGTTTTTACCGGAAACATCGGAAAAGGTTTAAAAGGCGTTGGTTTTCGAAAACCAACTTTGGTCATTAGAACCAGAGTTGGGTAAGGGAGTTAGTTACGTGGTAAAGGAAGTATTAGTTCCTTTACTACGCCCCTTCCGGGTTCCCTATGATAGGCCAGCTTTTTATGTTAATAAATAAACCGGAAAATACTCTTTTGCCCTTTTTATTGTGCGGAATTTAAAATGATGACTACATGGCCCTAATCTATTGAATAATTTAAATTAAAGCAGTAAAAAGTAGAGAGGGAGAATTTGAACCTCCGAAGCAAGCTTTCTTTGTTATTTCTCTTTTAAAAGAGGGTGCTTTTTGGCAGCCCTTCACTCTACAAGACGTCTGAAACTCTTCTAGACGCCGAAAAAACGCTCTCAAAGGCACTCAAAAACTCCGGAAATGCGTCGGAGGGATTCTAGAGAGAAGGGAGAGCTAGAAGCTTGTGGTGTGTGGAAATGAGGGGGGAGAGCCCCTATTTATAAGTTTTCGCGCCTGGCAGTGGCGAGACCGCCGGTCTCGTCTGACAGGGTCGAGACCGCCGTCTCGTCCAACGAGACCGCCGTCTCGACCTGGCAAACGCGGCGAGACCGCCGTCTGGGGAAACGAGACCGCCGTCTCGCCCTTCGCAGGTGGCGAGACCGCCGTCTCGTCAAGCGAGACGACGGTCTCGCCACTTGCATGAGGCGAGACGGCGGTCTGGGAAATCCAGACGGCGTTCTCGTCTCAACAAGGCGAGAAAACTTATTTTTTGCGCAGAAACTCCCTCCTATCCTAGTATGGGGCCTAATAGTCTCTCCTAATGGCTTGTTAGGCTTCGTCCATCTTCAAATAGGAGGTCTTCTACTCTTTATTTGGAGGCCGGGCAAGATTTGGGGTCTACAGCTGCCCCCCCTTTACCCGATCAGTCGACTGCTAGCCTTTTATGCCAAGGTGATCGACTGGAGGGTAAAGGAGTTGACCCTCTTGCCCGGTTGCCCTTCAGATGTTCCGTCTATGCGGCGGTTGATCTTCTGGGGAAAACTTCGGTGTTCGTGCACTTCCAGGATACTACTTCTGACGTAGCCGATCCCTTTGGTGGACACGTGGTAAAACCTCAGGATACTCCTTCTGACGGTAGTCGATCCTTCGGTTGATGGGTATGAACCCCCCATCAGGCTGGTAGTTGCAGTCCGTTGTGTGGGACTGGATGGGTATGAGCCCCCCATCAGGGTGGTACAGTCCATTGTGTGGGACTGGATGGGTATGAACCCCCCATCAGGCTGGTACAGTCCGTTGTGTGGGACTCGGATGGGTATGAACCCCCATCGGCCGGTACGGTCCGTTGTGTGGGACTCGGATGGGTATGAACCCCCATCGTGGTCGTAGTGCGACTTACTGATCCAGCTCGAGCGCAGATCAGGCGCAACGCGTGCGCAGGTTGATAGGTATAAACCCCCTATCAGGCTGGTACAATCCACTGCGTAGGACTGGTGGTAGTGGCGGCTTACTGCTCGGGTAGCTCATGCGCCGGTCTCTCTGGGGAGTGTTTTCTGTGTTGGTAGATGTTTTTGGACTTCTTGAATGGTCGTCCGGGCTGTGCCGGGGATTTTGTGTTTCATCCAGCTTTGTTGGTTGCTGGGGATTTCTTTGTTTTTGTTCTTTTGATGATGATTATCCGATCCTTGCTGGTTTGTCGGATGGGTCTTGGTTTTGTTCGACTCTTGCTTGGTAGCTTAATCCTGCCTTTTTCTCGCAGTTTAGGATTTTGGCTTTTTTTCTTGAGCATATGCCTTTTCTTTTTTTTTTTTTTTGTTACGCTGGCTTTTGCAAGAGATGGCAAAAAGATGTATGAAATAAAATTTTATTGATGGGGGAAATTTTATTACAACCCTATTTTTGCAAGCATTATCCCTAGGGGCTATCCTCTGGGCCCGATCCCTGGGGAGGGAAATGCTGGTACATGTGGTACCGGAAGTCCGCGTGCTCTTGGACTTCATCCCGGTATTCTTGCTGGAATGTCGTCCAATCGTGGCGCATGTCCTGTTGGTGCTGGTACATTTCTCCCAGCCGGGTGTCAAAGGCATCCTGCCTTTGGGATAGTTGCTCCTGCCTCTGGGCTATTTGCTCTTGCCTCACAGTTATGTGGTCGAACTGCTGGCATAGATCGCTCATGTGGCGGTGCATGCCAGCGAAGTCGTCCGCATACCGTGGCGGCTGCTGCTGCTGCTGTTGGAAATCGGGAGGTGTAGGCAGATCCTGCATTGCGTCATGGAGCTCCAATGCAAAATCCAGTGTGGGATGGAGGGCCAACTGGGTCCCTCTGCGAATCAACATTCCCATGCTGACCAAAATTGACCCACCGATGGATTCAGGTTGCAGGTTGGAGGCCAACTCTTCCCGGCCAGGGCACCCCAAACTCTCTGCCAGGGGAGTGATGAGTGGAGCCATGAGGACGGCCCCCGTGGATCTGTGCCTGAAGTCCTTGAGGGCTTTCAGGAAGAAGTACCCGGGGTTGCATCGCCGCTTTTGGCTCATGCAATATAGTACGAAGAGGTCAGGGAGGGACATTTTGCCCTGACTCTCTTTCCTCCCATGTATGGTCCCTGCCAACAGCTTGTGGCAGATACAGAGTGCAGGGGGAAGCCCTGATCCCCTCATCAGCGTGGGCAGTGTGGTGGCTCCCGTGAGCTCATGCCACATCTCGGCGGCGGTGAGGTTGGTGGGCCGCGAGCATATCGCCTCACGGTACTCCTGGGTCATGGAGTCCTCGGGCTGGACAAATCCGATGGCTACGTTGAATTCTTTGAGGGTGGAGGTCTGGTATTGTCCACCCATAAAATAGGTCACCATCCTGGTGGGCGGTAGGCCCGGGACCGTGGAGGGGACCTCAGAGTAAGAGACGGAGGCTAGGAACTCCAGTACCGCTTGCGGGTACACATGTGTAGGTGGTGGTTGTAGCAGGAAGCCCCACCCGATGCTATCTAGATGGGCCCGGACGTCGTCCTCCCATCCAAATTCAGCTAGGATGCTGAAATCCAGCTTGAGCATTAGGTGCCACTGATAGGTCCGGATATTTTCAAGGCGGGCCTGGTGCTGTGGCGACAGTTGAGAAGGGTCCTGGGATGGCAGTGCTGCAGAACTACTGGCACCGGCGATGCTCCTTCTCTTCTTGGAGGCGCTTCTGCTAAACATTCTGACCAGAGGGTGCTAGGGAGTGCAGGAGTTGAGAGAAAGGAAGTTCTGGAGGCAAGGGGAGTTGTGAGGAAGTCCCCAAGCGCGCCCCCTATATATAGGGAATTTTGCAAAATCGAGACCACCGTTTGGGTAGGCGAGACGGCGGTCTCGTGTCTCCTTCAAGTCGAGACGGCGGTCTGGTCCATCGAGATGGCGGTCTCGACGTTCGGCTTAATCGAGAGGGCGGTCTCGTTGATCGAGACGACGGTCTCATTTTCGCCTGTGTCGAGACGGCGGTCTGGTTGGTCCAGACGGCGGTCCCATCTTGCTGGGTAACCGAGACGGCGGTCTGGTTGGCCCAGACGGCGATCTCGAATTACGGAAGAGAGATTTTTATTTTTGTATTTTTTGTTGCTTTTTTTGTTATTTTTGAAAGAGGTAATAGGACCTGGTCTAAAAACATTTTATGCATGCCATGTTTTTATGTTTTGATGTCCTATAATGCCTATTTTGATTAAGTTTTCAGAAGGATTTAATCAACGTGTCTCGTTGCGCTGAAAGCCTTCTGATCTGCTGCGTTTACTCTTGGCTGTACCATACCGGACTTCTTGTGACCGAAGGGTAATTTCTTTCTTTCTCTATTTTTCTCTTTTTCTTCTTTTTCTTTTTTCTTTTGTAGAGCACTTTTGTCACGTAGTGTCCCTCTTTCCTTGCTTTAGGGATTTCAATCCTCTTGTTGACTATACGCCTCCATATTCCCGAATTAATTATTAGAATATTGTCGTGAGGGTCAAGAGAAAAGAAGTAAAGGGGTAAAAATCAATGGTTTGTGTTTTAGAGGGTTGATTTTTATTGATAAAAGGGTTTTGTAAGAATGGCTGGTTAAGGTTAAGCCTGTGTGTTTAGGCTTTGTCTAAACAAACATTTTTCCTTTCTTTTTGTATTTGCGCTCTTTGGTTTTATTTCCATTGCTTTTTAAATGGCTAGCTGATTTCCCTAGATCGCCCTTTGGGTTTTCGAACTAGGATACTGTGTGTTGGCCCTAACTTTTGTCTAGGTTCCTTCTTTTGTAAAATTTTTGGAGAAATCCTAGCGGACCTTATTTGTAACCCTAACTTTTGCCTAGGCTACCCTTTATTGTTGTTCGGGTATCCTACCGGGTCGACCCTATCTTTTGTGTAGCCCCCTTAGTGGGTTTCCTACCGGGTAGTTTGCCCTTTTCTTTGGCCTTTGGCTTCTCTGGGCTTGTCGCCGCCGTCAAAACGAGCCGATCGGAGCGACGCGCTGGTTTTTTTGACCCTCTTTGATTTTCGCGTTTTTTATGGGTGGGTACAACGTCCTTAGGTTGTCCGATAACCGGGCTAACCTAGAGACGAGGTTTTCGAAAAGTGTTCTTGGGTTGTCCGATAACCGGGCTAACCCAAGAACGGGTTTTGAAGGGTTCGTGGAGTCGCCACTGATGTTTTTACCGGAAACATCGGAAAAGGAGTTTAAAAAGGCGTTGGTTTTCAAAAACCAACTTTGGTCATTAGAACCAGAGTTGGGTAAGGGAGTTGGTTACGTGTAAAGGAAGTGTTAGTTCCTTTACGACGCCCCTTTCGGGTTCCCTATGATAGGCCGGCTACTTTGGATGAATAATTAAACTGGAAAATTGCACTTTTACCCTTTTATTATGCGGTATTTAAAGATTATGACTACATGGCCCTAGCGTCTATTGCATAATTTTAAATGAAAGCGGTAAAATTAGAAAGAGAGAGAGTGCACCTCCAAAGCAAGCTTTTTGTATTTCTCTTTAAAGAGTGGGTGCTTTTTGGCAACCCTTCACTCTACAAACTCTCAGAAACTCCGGAAATGCCTCGGAGGGATTCTAAAGAAGATTTAGAACGCTCAATTTATGCCTAGAGACACTCAAAAACTCCGGAAATGCTTCGGAGGGGTTCTAGAGAGAGAAAATCTAGAGAGAAGGGAGAGCTATTGTGCTTGGTGTCTGGAAATGAGGGGGGGAGAGCCCCTATTTATAGTTTTTCGCGCCTAACAGGTCGAGACCGCCGTTTCGTCTGACAGGGTCGAGACCGCCGTTTCGTCTGACAGGGTCGAGACCGCCGTTTGGACAATCCAGACCGCCGTCTCGATCATGGCAGGGGGTCGAGACCGCCGTCTGGATAATCTAGACCGCCGTCTCGACTAGGCAGAAGTCGATACCGCCGTCTGGATTATCCAGACGGCGGTCTCGTCCCTGGCGTGAGGCGAGACGGCGGTCTGGTCCTTCCAGACGGCGGTCTCGTCCCTTCAGGGCGAGAAACTTTATTTTTCGGGCAAGAAAAACGTCCTATCTTAGTACGGGGGCCTAATAGTCTCTCCTAGTGGCTTGTTAGGCTTCGACCGTCTTCAAATAGGAAGCTTTCTGACTTTATTTGGAGGCCGGGCAAGATTTGGGGTCTACAGCTGCCCCCCCTTTACTCGACCAGTCGACTGCTGGCCTTTTGTGCCAAGGTAATCGACTGGAGGGTAAAGGAGTTGACCCTCTTGCCCGGTTTCCCTTCGGACGTCCCGTCTTGTGGCGGATGATCCTCTGGGGAGATGTTGTATTTGTGCGCCTCTGGGATACTACTTCTGACGTAGCCGATCCCTTTGGTTGACACGTGGTAGAACCTCTGGATACAACTCCTAACGTAGCCGATC